AGGCATTAATTGATTATGGTAAATTAAATGCATTGCTAATTAGAACATGGCATGCCCCCCCTGGTTTAGCTTCAGTAAGGGTCAACTTAGAGCCATTCCATCACAAAAAGTGAAATTTTCTCCCTAGGTTATTTTCCTATAATGCTAATACTAGCACGGTTAGTATACCCTGCAGAAAACACACTTCCCATTTTCCAATACGCTTCTAATTACCTGAAAGCGACAGTGCATCAGTCTTTGAACTCAGGCACTCTGCCTGTAGAAACTGCCACATTTAATTAGAAAGGCTCCTTCAAAAGCCAACAACAGAAATGCAAAAATCAGTTTTGAGTTTTAAGGGGAAAAATTAGAAGGCAAAGGTAATGTTGCTTGTCCGATATTAAATCTCAGCCAAAACCCTTCAGCTCCCTTTAATTCATGCTGACAGCTAAAGGCATATATGCATAAACTTAAAAGCGTTCTTCCACCCAGGCTCAAGAGGATTTCTAATCAGTAAATAGAGTGTGTTCCAGTGGGTTCCCTTTAGAAAAGATTTTCTATTCTCTCTATTCATACTGCATTTTTTTTTCCAATTAAAAAAAATGAATATTCGGTTGGTGCAACAAACGGTTGTCTGCATTGATCACAATCCTTTCTGATACATTGAGGACAAGCTTCTAGTATTCAGCTGACAGCTTCCTTTATTAAATGAATGTGTTGTCACTTTAGTCAGAGGGTGGTGCAAGGAGCTGGCGGATTCTCTGTTCATTCTGTGCTGCATTCTACACAGCAGCTTCTGCTGGCAAAAGCAGATTGTATTCAGAGATGCTGGAATCCACATGTTCGCTGCCTGCTCCTACAGAGGCTGCAGCTAGCAGGGACAATGCTAAATGTCAGTTGACCAGGCTGATAAACTATATTGGAGAACTGCCAAGCCATAAAAGATGGATTTCCTTGCAGATCTGGAAGAAGACATAAATCTTCAAGACAACAACTCCCATCTATATCACAACTTTTCTTCTTTTGGTGGGTAGTTGCGTCCATGTACCCTATCATCACATCCTCATCTCATGGATGGTTTAGTTGTATACATTTTCCTCATACCATGTTGGCATTAAAAGTGAAAAAGGAGATAGTTTGTTTAGAAGGACTGCTTTCTAATATACCATGTAAAGATTTTTTCACGTTATTTCACTTCTGAAAAAGATGGTAGTAGACTTAATATTTATTAAGGAAAAGAGACCTGTGCAAAGTTATGTAACCTATAACAACCATCTTTTATTGTTCTGACTTGTCTGAACTGATTAAAGGGAAATTTGACTGCTTGCTATTGGGTACTGCCATTTGCAAATTATCAGTGGTCTCCAAGCTGCCTAAATATTCTGAAAATGTATGTTTTAGCTTATGTTACAGAAAATAATTATTGTATTTTGTAAGGCTTATATGTAGAGTTATACACACTGTGCATATATAATTTTAAATATATATATATATATATATATATATATATATATATATATATATATATTAACACACAAATGTTACATTTCCAAAATGTTTGACCTTTGCTGTTAGCACCCCAAAATCTGTTATGCACAGGCTCATTGAAGAGATTTAAAGCCTTGACCCATAATTATGTCTGTCAATATTAAATCAGCTTGTCCCACCGTCACTGCTATTATCAGGCTATCACAGGCTTTCCAAATCATTATACAATCTGTTTTGGGAAGGAAGTCCATGACATGTCTCCCTACTGAGCACAACTGGTGTGTTAAACTGCCATACCTACAGCCATTAGTAGCAAGTTTGTGTCTCTGAACATAGTGATATGCCTGCATTATTAGTAGCTAGCACCCCAGAGAATTTTTTCAAGATTGCCTCGTATTCATGAGCAGTTCTGTTCTGATTAAACCCTGCTCCAGTGTTATTAGTGATATGGTTATATATATCAGAAAGGAAAGTACTGTATTTCAAAACTACATAACCATTTTCTTTATAATGAGATAGAAGAAGTCTAATGTTATTAAAAGAAAAATAGGCTGTATGGATATTCCATGGTAGATATTGTTTAAAGAGAGCCCAGGCTCTTTAAAGTCTCTTTGAAATCACAAAAAATAGATGAATGCAGTAGGATAGACATTGTACTATCAACCTCCATTTTCATAGTGTTACCTCCACATTCCTGTTCCAGCAATTGTGTAGGATGTCTAAATATGACTGTGCTGTCCAGTAGGCACCAGAGTTAGACTTAATGCACTCAATACTTAGTACTCCGAAAAAGAACTGGCCAGGTGCACCCCCTACCTTGTTCTGCAACACAAGTCACTTGCTCTAGAAGTCATGGCTGTTAGGCTACATTCGCATGGGTGACTAGCCCAAATTCGAATAACAGCGACAGGAATCTGCTGATTCCTGCAGCAGTTTTGCCACCTGTAAGTGGCTAGCTGCAGCCATCAAACTCTGTACGTTTCAATGACAAGTCGCCGGTCCGACTATCTTTCACACCAGGGCTAGTCTCCCATGCAACTCTAGCCTTAAAGGTTAACTACTCTTTTTTGGGTAAAAATAGCAACTAAAAAAAATAAGTGTATACAATTTCTACAAGTCATATTGTAATTGATTAATGAAAATGAGATTTCCTTTTCAATCAGCAGCACTGTAATTTTCTGTAAAATTCAATGCAATATAGCAACCTGAAGGCTTTCTGTACACAGATGGTCTGCACTAAGATACAAGTCACATTTTGAGCATCCCCTGCAACAAAAAATTTTATTTTTGTGAAAGGAGGTGTGAATCTCCCAAAGGGAAATCACGTCTAAAAAGATGCAGCAGCTAATTGATAATTATATAATTACTCCCATGCAGATTCACTTTGCACATGGATACAGATAAACAGACAGCTATTTCTTCAGAATAACAAAAGGTAGGAATCTGCAACAAAATTTGTTAAAATCCTTTCAATGTAAAGTCCCCCCTAAAGTCACCCTCCACTAAACTCATACAACTCCTGTGCAACTGGTTTTTAACAATTAAAGTGGTTCTAAAGCAGGGGTGTCAAACTGGCGGCCCTCCAGCTGTTGCGAAAGTCCCATCATGTCATGCTTGTAACTTTCAATCTTGCAATGCCTCATGGGACTTGTAGTTTGGCAACAGCTGGAGGGCGGCCAGTTTGACAGCTGTGTTCTAAAGGCTCAAGGTTTTTTACCTTCATGCATTCTACGCATGACGGTAAAAAACCTTCTGTGTGTAGTAGCCCCTCAGCCCCCCTAACACTTACATGAGCCCCCTCTGGATCCAGCGATGTCCATTAGAGCCTCAGTTCTCCAAGGACTTTCACTCCTGATTGGCTGAAGCAGGAGCCATGGGTTCCCGCTGCTGTCAATCACAGCCAGTGAGCCGGTCAGGAGAGGTAGGGGGCGGGGCCAAACTGTGGCTCAATGTGTGAATGGACACGACTGCTTGGGTGCCCCCATAGCAAGCTAAGGGAGGAGTCAGGAGCATGGGACCAGAGAAGAGGAGAATCCAGGATGCTCTGTGCAAAACCATTGCACAGAGCAGGTAAATATGACATTTGTTGTTGTGGGTTTTTTTTAATCAAGACTTTAATATCACTTTAAGAATGGCTAAACTGAAGGTCACTGTCAATGCGAAATGCTTTTATCTTTTCATACATGAAACAATTTTGCATGTCTCATAGGATATAAGATTTATAACTCGAATATACATTTTTTTCTAAAATATATTGAGCATATTTGTTTTTTGTAGCACAGGACACTTGACACTGTACTTGTCTGTGCAAGATATATAAGTAAACCTGCATATCATAGTCATACATACACATCAGGGTGTCTAAGAAACTATTATCCACACACAATGCACTCATAAAGTATTCAGACCAGCTTCACTTTTTTCAATTTTGTTATGTTGCAGCCTGATACTACAGTTGTTTCAATTCATTTTTTTTACTCATGTATCTACACTCAATGACAAAGCGAAAACATAATTTTAGAAATGTTTGGAAATTTATGAAAAGGGAAAAACTGAAATATTACAATGGCATAAGTATTCAGACCCTTTGCAACAACACTTGAAATTTAACTCAGGTGCCTCCCATTTCTCTTGATCATTGCTGAGATGTTTCTATACCTTGATTGGAGTCCACCTGTGGTAAATTAAATTGACTGGACATGATTTGGAAAGGCACACAGCTGATACATACTGTATCAGAGCAAAGGCCATGTGGTCAAAGGATCTGCCTGCAGAGCTCAAAGACACAAATATTGCAAGGCAAAGATCTGGGGAATGCTACAAAAAAATTCTGTTGCACTAAAGATTCCCAAGAGCACAGAGGACTCCATAATTCTCAAATGGAAGAGGTTTGGCAGCCAAACTGAGCAATGGGGGAGGAGGGCCTTAGTAAGAGAGGTGCCTCAGTCACTCTGAATGAGCTCTAGGGATCCTGTGTGGAGATGGGACAATGATCCATAAGGACAACCATCACTGCAGCCCTCCATTGATCTGGGCTTTATGACAGAGTGGCTAGACAGAGGCCTCTACTCAGTGCACAACACATGAAAGCCTGCTTGGAGTTTACAAAGGCTACTTAAACCCCCACAACATTATATATTTTCTGAAAACAGAGACCTTGTAGAATAAAAAGATGATAGTTGCAATATTTTATGTTGCGGGATATTTGTCATTTGCCATCAAACACACATTTTCAGGGAAAAATATTTAAAACATTAATTTAAGTGCACACAAACACAATATAATACCCCACTTTTTGGTAAAATATAAAAGATGAGGTTGCTTTGAGTAAATAGATACCAAACAAGTCAAGTCTTAAAATTGCGTGTGCTCGTGCTATCACCAAAAACTACAATACCCAAAAATCTCCATAGGTAAAAGCCTTTACGGCTCATCAGCAGGGGCGGACTGACCATTCAAGCACTCAGGCACTGCCCGAGGGCCCAGGGTCAGTGGGGGGCCCCATGAAATGCCCCTGGTACCTTTTTTTTTAGGCTTTTTGAGTGTGCTTTTAGTGTGGCCAAGGACACAGGGGCCCCATGATCCCCTATTGCCCGGGGGCCCCATGAGTTGTCAGTCCGCCCCTGCTCATCAGTTTAGGGTTAACCAGGAACTCCTATGCTATATTTGTTGCTCTCACTCTGACAGTCACAACAATCACTTTCATTTTCAAGCTGGGAGCAGAACAGGCTTATAGCTGCTACTGTAGCCATCAGCATGTGAATAACCCTTCACTCTTTGGACATATGTAGTAAGTCCAAAGAGCTCAAGTGGTTAAAGAAGAACTTTGTTAAAATAGTTGGGAGCTACTTTGCAAACAGCAGCTGTTGAAACAATTAACATCTTGGTAAGAAGCGTGTAATGTCTAACACAGTGTATATAGTGCAATGGTAAGGACTAGGTGATGCAAAATGTAGCATATATAGTACAGCAGTCAGGGCTATATGATACACAATGCAATATATAAGGTGCAGTGGTTAGGATTTTGTAATGTACAACATAGCATATAAAGTGCAGTGGTCAGGACTACATACTGTACAACAGTATATACAGTGCAGAGACAAGGACTGTGTAAAGTACAACATAGCATATGGAGTCAATGATCAAGACTACAGTATGTAATGTGCAATATAGCATGTACAGTGAAGTTGTGAGGACTGTGTAGTGTACAAAATTTCTTTGGTCAGAGTGGTCAGAACTATATAATTTACTACATACGGTACAGAATTTAGCAGTCCAGACTGGTCGGTGTACCCCTTCTTTGTGTAACATACAACATGATGTATAGAATACAGAGATCACAACTATGTAGCATGAATAGCACAGAAATCAGGCTTAAGTAACATGCAACATAGCGTATAGAATGAAGTGGCCAGGGCTATGTAGAGTATACAGTGCACCAGTCAGGAATATGTCATTTACAACATAGAACACACAGCACAGTGGTCAAAGTAAAGGGGTCAGGACTATGTATTTGCACAGCACAGTGGAGTGCTGTGGTCAGGAGCAAGTGTCCTTTTATGTTGGTGATCAGTATGTTACCTTCATTGGTGCTTAGCCTGCCCCCTTACACTGGTGGTTGGTGTGGCCCCTTACACTAGTGACCAATGTTTAGTGTACTCCCTTACATTGATGGTCAGTGCTACGTGCACCGCTTACATTGGCGGTCAGTGCTATGTGCGCTTCTTCCATTGGTGGTCAGTGCTTAGTGCCCCCCTACATTGATTTTCATCATGGATGCGCACTTCCTTAATGATGGTGGTGGCAGAAGGCGGTTGGGTAAGTGGACAAATAGGCAGACAAGCTGATGATAATGGCATGGCCACATGGTTTAAGTCTCTACTGTGGAAACTGGCAGAAATGCTAGTTTATTGTGTGTCTGTCACTGACAGCAAAACTTATAGGGGTAGACTTGGGGGCAGGAGCTGCACCATCAGCAATGAGTTAGGTTTGGGAGCAGTTAGGCAGAAAAATGCAGTGCAAAGTGTTAAATGGCCCTGAGACCCAGACATGAACCATGACTTGCAGGGCACTTAGGTGTTTAAATGAAAAATTCAATACACCTCCTTGTACTCAAAATAGAAAAACAAACCCCTCCCTGATTGTTCCATCTATGTGTTTCACAATCTTTACTCACAAGGACTCCACATTTGAGCCATATCTGTGGACAAAGTAGTTTGCAATATTACTATTTTTTGGAGACTTGATTTTGCATAAATGATTTCTAAGATGCTTATAGAGCCTCCCAGTGCTCTTCCCCATATACAGTATATAACATTTTGTACAGGTTAATACCTACATTATATCTGATGGTACAGTTAACATATTGTTTAATTCTCTAAGTTTCATTGATAACACTCAACCTAATAGTATGAGAATCTCCTGCAAACCAGTAGCTGCAACACCCAGATGCTCCACAATTGTACCTGCTCATTGTTCTTCACAGAGTAGAGGTGATTTTTGTTCACTAATGAACAGACTCAATGACAAATGACTCCCCAACATGGGTACTTTTCTATATGTAACTGTACTTCTAACTTTAGCATCTCTCAAATGTCAGGGTCATCATTCAGGACAGGTGAATACTCCCAATTGTTCTCTTTGCGCTCTGATATTCCAGGCTTCTTAGTAGAGAAAATCATTCACCTATCCTGTTTTTCATATTCTGAGTCATACAGTTTCTTCAGTGTCATTTGTGATTCTTTTAATAAATCTTCCCTCTTTTTATGGTTAGAAAATCCATTGTAAATGGCTTATTCGCTGAATTATAACCATAACCTCTCTCCAGAATTCTCTTTCTCAAAGCTGCTACTTCTCTTTCATATGTTTTCATATCTGCACAGGTCCTTCTAATATGGAGGAAAGAGTTCCTAGAGATAGGATTCCTGTATGTCTCCCTCTACCCTTTGTTTTTCAACTCTACCTTTCAATGGTAAATCCAGAAAATGTATGGCATCTTTATCCTCTTTGCAAGAAAATTTTAAATTATAGTCATTCTGGTTCAGATATTTAATCCATTTAACAGCTTCCAAACTTGATCTACAAATGATATCAAATCATCAGTCTAACGATAGTATCAATAAATGAAAGACCTGTGAGATTATCATCTCCAAAAGACATGGTGTTCCTCCATCCAACCCAAAAAGTTTGTATAGGTGCAGACAAACTGTTGCCCATCAAAGTGTCATATCTTTGAAGATAGTATTTCCCATTAAACAAAAAGTAATTATGGGTCAAAAGATAAGGATCCCATTTAATGGACAAATACTAAGATCCTCCAAATACCTGCTGTATCGCTGAAAAAAAAACTTTAATGCATCAATTCCTCTATAATGGAGTATAGAGTAATACAATGATTTGACATCACATGTCATCCACTTGCGATAGAAGCTCAAAGAAAAGCGTTCAGCCCTCTACATCATCTGTATCATATTATCACACAAGTTCATAGGAAGCTGGGTAACTAGGGCTCAGGAAACTGGTTTAACATGTCTTTGAGCCCTTCATTCAATGAGCCTATTCTGGCTATGCAAACATCATAGCAATTGATGCTGATCTAGGTGGACTTCTGGCTGACCACAGCCAGGCACAAGTGCAGACCAACAGGATCCACCTGTTCCATCAGGAAACTGTTAAACAATGAACACAAACTGCAAATCTGCTGGATCCTCTTCTTTTTCTTGAATTTATTGGGCTGAATATTACATTCCATGTCATGCTTCATTAAGCCTCTCCTTTTCTGACATCTTTCACCCCATCAGAGGTTTAATCATAGACGTCATAAAATGGTGATGGGGTGGAAGTTTATATATCCACCTTAATTACTCATTAATTATGTTCTTAGTTCGCCTTACATCCTTTCATATCCTATGGCAACAACATTGCTTACTAAACAGAATAAACCATGGTCACTATTACATAAAACAACCATCCTACCCGAAAACCATCTTTAACCACTTATGTACTAATGTACAACTATCAACAGCAGATCAGTGGCCCCTTATTTACCCATGGCCATTTATGAACAGTACTGAATAAACAGTCCTCAGGCAGACGATCCACTGGGTGATATCTCTGTACCCAACTGTCATTAGACAGCTAAGTACACAAAGACTCCATACCTAACTGATCTGAGCAGATGGGTACCATGTGATTACCATGATTGGTCATTACTGCTGATATACTATGCCTTGCTGGGCATTTTTACCCAAATAAATTAGCCTCTTTTCAGCAACAAGGTGTGCTGGAGATTGTGATGCCACTTAGTAGGTCAGCATCACCTGAAACAGTATTTTAATATTGAACCTGCACTGTGATCATAGCATACAAAGTTTGATATACCAAGAGCTATAATCAAAATAAAGTAAAACAATGCATGGCCAAAATAATCAAATAATCCCAAAGTGCATTCATATAGAATAATGCATTCATATACTGTATGTACCCGAGTATATATATATATATATATATATATATATATATTATGCAAAGTGCTCATACAGTGTCAGGCAAATAGGTCTATGTTAGTGTCAAGTAAATGAAGTCTGTTGAATATTAGAGTCCCAAGGATATGCATGTACAGAGATTTTCCACCAACCGAACAAAACAGATACCACCAACAAAGCAAAGTGCACACAGACCATGAGCTGTAACAAAACACAGCAGACACAGCATGTATCACAGGCAGGGATCCTCTCAAGATGTATATGCACCAACCCCAGGATTTCTCCTTCTGACAGCACCAAGATCTGGTTCCAGCTACAGTAAATTAGGCTCACTAGAGGAGCCAATAACAGCCGGTAATAGTGCAGTATTTTATTAAAATTCCAATAAAATCACAATACAGATGCAAATCAGCTGAATATAGTGGTAAAAACGCAGGGAAACTCACACAGAAACCACCTGTCAACTGCAGGCAGAGCCTCTGGGTCGGCAGCAGCTTTCTGTGTTAATTTCCGTGCATTTTTACCACTATGCTCATTTGTATTGTGGTTTTATTAAAATTTTAATAAAATACTACACTATTACTGGTGCTTATTGGCTCCTCGTTGTCCTTCATTTACCGTAGCTGTAACCAAATCCTGGTGCTGTCAGAAGGATAGATTCTGGGATTGGTGCATATTCATCTTGGGAGGATCCCCACCTGTGACACATGCTATGCCTGCTATATTTTGTTGCAGCTCATGGTCTGGTGAGTGTTTACTTTGATTAGGTGATGGTATTCCGTTACCTTTACACACGGAGAGTATTCCTTTGGTTAGTGGAAGATTTCTGTACACAATTGTCCTTGTCGGTAGAAAACCACACTGGCACAGGGAGAACATATAAACTTCAGGCAGGTGGTGTGTGGCTTGGATTCATACCACTAATCCTAGTACTGCCAGGATCCAGCTTTAAGAGTACCACCAGGGAACTAGCAAATTTATAGTTAGGTCAGCAATGGCAGCCTCTCTTTTAGCGAAATAAAAACGAGAAGCGCACAAACCTTGCGCATTACCTTGGTAAACAAAACTTTTATTAATAAAATAGGTACTCACAAACAGCGAAGAGCGCAGAAGAAATCGTGTTTGGTTTATTGTTTTAGCCTCTCTTTTAGTACAGGTTCTTTTTAAGGCTAGGTTCACAACGCTGTGATGCAATTTCGAGCTGACTTTCAATG